GTGTGTGTGTCTGTGTGTGTCTGTGTGTGTGTGTCTGTGCGTGTGTGAGTTTGTGTGTGTGTGTGTGTGTGTGTGTGTGTGTCTGTGTGTGTGTGCGTGTGTGTGTGTGTGTGTGTGTGTGTATAATATGTGTACCTGGAGAAACACCAAACCAATGTGCCAGGATCTGGACAATAAAAGATATTTGTATCTTATCTATCTTATTTTATCTTTTCTTATCTCTTGTCTCCCCCACAGGCTTTCGCTGCGATTGAGTCAATGGCGGACGGCGGGGTCAAGATGGGGCTGCCCCGTGAACTGGCTCTCAAACTGGCGGCACAGACGTTGCTGGTGAGTCTGGGGACCGTTGGTCATTTAGTTTAGTGCTGACCAGTGTGATGGGGAAACGTCCTGCTTTATTACAAGGGGAAAATGATGAAATGGTATGGGTTTAACACCTTTATCAATACTATTAGTTTATTGAAGAAGTGGGGACCATTGTTCATTTATTGTTGACCAGTGTGCTGGGAAACCTCCTACTTTGTTACTTGTGAAAAATGAAATGGTATAGGTTTAATGCCCCTTTCAACACCGTTAGGTTATTTAAGAGATGGGGCCTCTGAGTTTAACGTCCATCTCCGAAAGGACGGAAGCCAAGTGGGAATTTTGTGTAAAGTGTCTTTCCCAAGGACTCAACGTCGGACTGGGCTGAGGCTCGAACTCCCGAAACCACAACCTCACGATTACATTACAGGTCCGGTAGTCTAACCTCTAGGCTCCCTTATTACTTGTGGAAGCAGCCCTCTTCCTGATGATTTATGTTGTGTCAGTCGCCGTCGTCAACAGATAACCTGAGTTTGAATCCCGTGGGGGGGGGGGGGGGGGGGGGGATTTTTATAGAGTATTAATATGGTCTTTCTACTGGGACGTTGTATCTCTCTCAGCCCGGGTTGGCCCTGACAGTAGGCATGGTCAAAGTCAAAACCCACCTCCTCAATGATCTAAATTGTGTCGATGAGGACATAAAAATCATAAAAATACAGGAACTCAAAATAGTTTTCTGTTTTGCTTTAGTAAGAGTTCTACGGCAATTGCAACACGAGAAGGTTATATAAATGCAGACGATTAGAGGTGTTACAAGAGAGTAACAAACACGCAAAAGGAGAGATAAGCTTTTCTACTGCTTCTCCTTGGCTCCTTACTGCTATCTTTCAGCCACACCCCTGATCTTATGGTAGGAAAGATGTACACAAAGCCTTCTTGGACAAGGGTGAAAAATCTCACAGGTCCCATGTGCAAGTAGAGCACGTTAAAGATCCTTTGGTGGTCCAAAATCAATAAGAGTAGGCTTCAGCTGCTACCCGAGCAAAATTCAAAATTTCCTACCAACTGAAAATGTGTGTCCCGCGTGCTCATAATATGACCTTGTGTAGTTAGGAGCACCGTAAAACACTTATCAAAAAAGAAAAGTCATAAAAATGAAGTTATTAATGGGGTTTTTCTGCCACCAGGGAGCGGCCAAGATGGTCCTGGAGACGGGCAAACACCCGGGCCAGCTGAAGGACGAGGTGTGCTCCCCTGCCGGCACCACCATCTCCGCCATGCACGTGTTGGAGAACCGGGGGTTCCGCGCCAGTCTGATCGACGCTGTGGAGGCAGCAACTCTCAGGGCTAGGGAGCTAGGCGCCTCTAACTAAGTGAGGGGCTGGTAGATGGATGGATGGATAGATGGATGGGTGGATGGATGGACGGGCGAGTGAGAGAGTGTGGTGAACAATAGTGGATGATGGTGTGCGTGTATGTGTGTGAGTATGTGAATGAGTGTGCTGTGTGTGTATTGTCACACTGTGTGTGTGTGTGCTGTGTGTGTTGTCACACTGTGTGTGTGTGTGCTGTGTGTGTTGTCACACTGTGTGTGTGCTGTGTGTGTTACCACAGCAACACGCCTGATGATGTGTGACTCTTGGTCTTGATATTTTAACAGAATGTGTGATAATGTGTGTGTGTGTGTGTGTGTGTGTGCTGTCACAGTGACATGACTGATCTGTAACTGGTGTTGTTATATTAACACGCCTGATGATGTGTGCTACGAGTGGGTTCTCATGCTGACTGACTCCAATTTCAAGAAGAGAGTTTATTTTGCATGACACAGCAGTTTGAATTGCTGACCGGAGAGAAAGGAATATTTGTGAGCATGAAAAAAAAGGAGAGTCACTTTGAAAGAGTTGCAAGATTTATACATGTATTATATATATTCTGCTCCTATGTAAAAATGTAAATGGTGTTATATATGCGTGTGATAGTATATGAGGGTGTGTGTTGTAAATCAATACCGGTATGAGTATGTGGTTGGTTGTGAGGAGAATACGTATTGTTTCCTTCATCAGTCGTATATTCGAGGTCATTGCTATACATGTGCAATAATGATTTTGTGCTCAGATCCCTAATTAATTAAGGGTATCTCTCTTCAAATTTTGATAAATCAAAAAAAATAATTTTTTAACTGACGAAATAAGTCAATAATGCTGTCCAATCATTGGCTGATATAGGAGACCAAAAAAGGTTTGGTCCGGCGAGCTAGTACCAGAACTTGATGTTGTGTGCACATTCACACCCATTGTAAATTAAGAAAAGCGGAACTTCGTGTTAGCATTTTTTTTTTTTAATTAGTTTTTGTTTCACCTCTTTTCCACACAGCTTTTTTAAAATAAAGACAGTACATTTAGCCTCTTCCCCTGGAGTCATGTGGCAAAATTAGAATTTGCAAAATACTCCGAATTCAATTTTATGGCTTCTTTTTCTTTTCTTGTTTTTTTTAGGACCTTTTTTGTAGTCACATGTATTCTGTACTTTTTGAAATGTGCTACCTTGTGCATTGATTAATCTTTTCTAGGTATAATGAGCTCAAAAAAGAGGAAAATCTGTTTTGGAGTGAATGTGTGTTCATCTGCATGGTGATATGTTGTGGTAAAGATGAAATAGTATTTCTATTGTGAACAAATTTGCCATATGTCCCAAATTTAACAAGTGGTTGGGTTTTTTTTTAATGTTTCCAACTCATAACTGATGAACTGTAAGAATCAAAAGTCTTTCTAACACAGGTCAAAGTAGTAACCACCTTTATATGTACGTGTATTACAAGTATATTTCAGACATGGAAAAAATGTCTTGCACTTCTTTCCATCTTCACTCCCTCAACAGTGAATACCATTCGATAAGTGTAGCCTGCATAACAGAATTTGAAATGAATCTTTAGTAACGACATGCTACCTCAGAATTACCCCAAGTTCTATCTGATCGATACCAATTTTTGAGAAATCTGATCTCAAAATTTTTTAAGATTCAGAATATGCCATGCTTTTTCAAATGCAATTCTTTGAGAATCTCGATAACGACTCTAAATAATCTCACAATTTTGACAGAGCAGATAGAGCATATGCTTTGTGACCTCATGGTCTTAACAACTCACACCTGGCAAAAATGTCAGATAGAACTTTGTAATTTTGAGGTAGCGAACTGTTTTTCCCTTTTTTAGAATTATATGTGTGATGATGGGAAATTACATGTACATGTAGGCCTATCTGTAAATTTCTTGTAAGTGTAAGTCAAGGGGAGATTTCCTGTACTTTTCCTTTCCATGTGTTGGTCAGATTTTTGTTGTTCTCTGAATTAACTTTTGTGTGGTGGGGGTGATTTCATTCAACTTGATCTACTCTCTGTCCTAGTTGGAAGTTGATACCTGGAGTGTTTTGGTGTATGTGGGACAGATTTGATGTACACATTTGCTGAATGCCATTATGTACTGGACAAGAGTGACGGTGTGTCCAGATGTTGAGACGTTACGAGTATCTCTTCTTGTTGCTGCCCTGAATTTGTGTTATGGTTGCGAAGTATGGAAGCTGGACTCGCAACTTTCTTGTATTTTCCCCTGAATTTCATCGCCCAAGTAGGACGGTTTCAAAGTTCTCTTGACTGATAACAATTTAAGTCTGGATTTGTGAGTGTGAGAGAATGTGGGTGCACATGTATTTTAAAAGTGAGAAGAGAAAGAAGTGAGAAAGTCTCGGACTCAGTCTTACACTTTAGATCTGAGCATTTTACACAGTACAACGTTACTTTGTAGAATGCAGTTCTGTGTTGCATTTGTTGTAACTAAAGTATTGGCCAATGCAGGAGATCCGTACTGTGTTATGTTGTTTCAATCTGTGAAATGTGAATAAAGATCACTGAAAGCAACACATGTGTCAAGTATTTTTTTAAATCGTTGCTGTTGCTGTCGGTTTGAAACTTAAACAGTAGCTCCGCACACTGTTATAAGGCATCAAGGCATCGTGTCTGCTTCTTAAGGGAAGGTGCTACTGGAATTTTCATCCCTTAGATCCTTCATATTATTAATGTTATAGACAATGTCTTATGTTATTACTGTGTTCAGCATGTCCATAGGAAATGGTGAAATATTTGAATGTAGTGAAATTATCATTCATCAACCATTATTTTTTTTTTTAATCCTAAGGCTTTTTAATTTTTCAAGCAATTTCTTTGTTATTTGGTAAGATCATCAACTACTACGAAAACTGCGTATTTAAATCAGTTCGGTTTTAGCAGCTTATTTTTTGTGCTGTATCAGAAAAGTGCGAAAATTTTACAGGGGGATAAGTATAAGGTGATTTACACGAAGACAGAACTCCTGGGGCTTCCCCAAGGAACGTACATACCTCCAGTAGTCCCCCCCCCCTCCCCCCCAAGAGTCCATCCTCCAAATTTTACCCGTATTTACCCTTGGCGATCGACCCTTGATTTTATTTCGCGCCATTGCAGTGAAACATGTGTCAGACGATGTTTTAGATGATGATGTGCTTGTTATGTGTCTACTCGCAATTCAAGAAAAAGAAAAGCGAAAGAGAAAACTTTGGACAAATAAATGGATGCTTAAACGACCTGTCTAAACACACCCAAACGTCTTGAATGAATTGCAGTTTTATCCAGACGACTTTTAAGAAATATTTGAGAATGGATGAGGCTACTAACACTTATTATATTCACCTTTTAGGAATTGTAAATCCATTGACTGACTGATTAAAAAGCAGTCAACAGTAATGAGAGCATCAATAAGCCGTCATGAGAGGCTGACCGCTACTTTACTCTTCCTGGCTACAGGACGAAACTACCATGACTTGCAATTCTCAACTCACATTTCACCATCAGCATTGTCAAATAATACCTGAAACATGTCTTGCAATAAACGACTCCCTTAAAAAAGCAGATAGACCTCAAAGATTACAAAATTGCTTAAACTTAACCAAAATCGACGAGTTTTTGATAGGCTTGTTCTCGCTTCACCCTATTTCTTCCACAGACACTCTTGAGAACGGTATTCCGAATATGATCTTTCCACCACGTAGCCACGTTTGATTTTTTCTAGTGACGCAATAGTACACGCCTGACTTGATGTTCTATAGTGAAAACAACACATTTTTTTTTTTTTTAATGAAGCATGAAAAAGTTATCTGTACGCGAGGACTGCTTATTTTTTGTCGCTGACCGTGAATCTGCAATCAGTTTTTCTTTATACAGTGGAAACCGTACCGTATAACATTAACAACAGGCCCGGTAAAAACAAAACCGGGATTATTTAAATCCCCGTTTTTTCCTACTGTCTCTGTTAAAAGTAAAAGTTATCGACAATAACAAGGCCTCGTCAGAGCCCAATCGGTTATAGCTGGGACAAAAGCTCATTAACAATGACAATGTGTAAATTATGCGAGTGAGAGAGAGAGATACACTGGTGGAGCAAGCACACGCAGCGGATGAAGCGAGAGGGCTGGCTACTGTGTGCTGCAGACTTCGACCTAGCCCATTAGTAAGCCCGAGATCTGATAAAATGGACTTTTTCTCCCACTGTCCCTGTTATATCAGGTTTCCACTGAAATATGTTCGCCAAAAAAAATGCACCTCCCCTAGCCAGTCTACATGCGAATACCAGAAACGTCGATCATCAAAGGCCTCCTCCGCGTGAGGATGGAAGTTGGGTCCAAAATATCATCAAGCACTGCCCGATTCCACAGATCGGCACTGAGGGACGTAAATTTTTGTCCCCTTGTCCCAATAGTCCCGACACCTTATTTCATCCCTAGGGTTGTAGGATTGGACCTGTTGGAATCATTTCATTCCAGGAGTCCGATCACTGTGTGTAAATTGCCCCTATGCTTGTATTATATGTTGACAAAATGTTTTTAAAAATTTTGGTAGAGGTTTTACAGCGCTCGCAACAGCATGTCATATGAGCATCAGAAGATTAGAGGGGTTACAAGAGAGTAACAAAGAAGGGGAAATAAGGACAATAGATGTTTCATAAGAAAGAAGAAGCAAACCCCACCAGAGCACCCCGCCAACCACCCACAACACAATGTTGCTATATGGTTGTAAAGACATTTGCGAAATTTTAACTACCGTATTAGTCGAAAAATGAGGAAGCCTTAGTATTTTTAGTACATCATCCATGTACTAAAATCTTATGAAATGAGAATTTACGCAATACATAAAAATACATGTAATTGTGAAAGAAAAGAAACCTGCACTTAATATTCCTCTCGATTGCCCAGGAATGATGGTTCTATCCATTCAAATTCCCATCTATTACATACTACATGATGTAGTATTACCCTCAAGTGCACTGAGGACAGTTTTAGCAGCAAACGTTGCACATACATTACATGGAACATTTTTAAAAAGAACTCAATTTTTGTAGCACCTTCCCTTAAGAGCTGATTCTAATTTTTAACTCCTCCAAGGGAGCAGCACATTCCAAATACTTTAAAATGTGCCTTTGACATTTGCTCATCACATGCAGTGGACTCGACCAGCCCAAGTCAAACCAATAATGAAAACTTTTGTTATAGTACCAGTTTTACGGCACTCACAACACGAAAACAGAGAAAGAAGAGATCAGGAAGGTTGAAGTTTGATAAGAAAGGAGCGAACCACACCAAAGCATCCGCCAACCACCTGCTAATGAAAACTTAAGTTTCGTTCGATTTCACAGGTAATAGATTAAAATCACAGCAAAACGAACCCCAAGAATCGAGGTGCAAGGAGAGAAACAGTAAAGCTTGCAGTGGAGGAGAAAAAAATTAACACAATAAAATACCAGCACATTATAGTGATGATGAATATTTATTAATATATGATCCACAATATCAGAACTCGTCAGATGAACAAAATGACAATAAATTGACGTGAAAAAGGACAAAAAATTCTGATCTCACAAGGACTGCTGCCTGTATGTTTCATTAAACAGCCACATCTTCAACATCTTGCACACAGACACACGTGCGCACATACAAAAAATGGCATTCATGGTAAAATAAAACTCAACATTTATGACAGCTTACACACTTGTCAGGTGATAAAACACACCTGTATAGCTATCGGGGTGCCCGCACAAACAAACAAGGGTCGCGGGAAGAGGATAGGAAAACAGCCATGCACACAAACACGCAATTATCTTACGAAGCAAGCCATAAAATGTACAACTCTTATCTATGTATCAGCCCAGTTCATTCAGGAGTTGAAACAAGTCTGATAAAATCTTGAGAATACAGTGAAACAGTTTGTGCCCAACAGTCCCTGTCTAAGAACACATTACGGTGACCACACTCTCAGGGAGCCTCAAGACTCTAGCGGTGAACCGTCACATGACCCTTACCACTACGCACTTTGAGTACAGTAGAGAACTGGCAATATAAGCCCAATAAGAATGTCCCACATATATGACACAAGCCCTAGTACCACTAGCTAGCATGACATACATGCGACACAAATTTTGATGGAAAACACTCTCAGTTCTGGCTTTATCCTAGAAATGGATACAAGACACAAATAATAAACCTTTTGCACTGCATTCACTAAAACTTTGGATTGTACAGAATTAAAACCTTTATTTTTCAGCTACTGGGAAGAGTGAAATGCCGCAATTCATAAAATTATATTCGGACAAACAAGATAAGATTCAAAGTGTGAGGGTGTGGATGCAGACAAAGTTTCTGTAGGAGATATAAAAACTCTGTTTATCACAGGCCCCACATGTACAAAGTGCAGAAAGTAGAAGGAAAAGAGTACAAAGTCCTTTAAAAAAACTACAGGATAAACTATACCCAGCTTCCTCACAAACCCCCAAACCCATGTGACTATATTAGAATATCAGCTACCTCTCTAAGATCTCTTTACCACACCTCCCCAAATTAAAAACTATACATCATTATAATCCAGCTAGGTAGAAAAATCAGTTTAGCTTTAGTAGAGGTATAAGGTCATATGAGCATGAAGCGGTGGATGTCAACAGAGAAGTCTTTACAGGGAATCAGACTTACTCTGCTCACCTCTCTAGCTTAAATAGCACGAAGTCTGTCAAAATAATGGTCAAGAACACAATTTAAAGTAAAAACTAGACAAGATGGTCTACTAGTGAAACCCAACTTACCCTGAGCCTTATCAGAGGAGGGGAAAAAATCAACATTTGAAAGTTTGGTTAAACAGACTCACAAAAGAAATATTACAATAATAATGAGGTAAACGATGCAGATATTAAATATTAAAGTAGACATGCTGTTTACCCCCCTCCCCCCCTACTCCGAAAAAAAAAGGACAATTCACCATCGCTGCATTTACAACAACCGTCTACAAACAAGAAACCCCTTTACATTAAAAAGTTCTTGACAAATTATTAGTACAATTTACCCTTATTCACATAACACAGTGAACTCCACATACACGACAAGACAATGTTGTAGTCTACTTCTTTGCACCGTTAGCTAAAAAATCTGAACAACCAGATACTCCTCTACAATCACAATAAAACAATTCCAATTTCACACAAACAACTGTAAATCTAAATCTTAAAAGACCACTATTAGGAAAATAGGTAGGCTATAATAATTGTGCCACACCTGCAACTATTATTTCGACAACTTTGTTTCACCCTGACAGGTCTGAAAAGAAAGCATCCCACATTAAATGCCCACATATATCCTAAAGTCAACGGCACAATTTTCAGGTCTGGAACAAGAAATGATTCAGTTCACAAGACAAAATCTATCAGGGACCAGAACTAAAATTCTTTCCACAAAACACCCATGGAGTTAATGACATTATTAGCCGTATAATGTACAAGTAACAACAATTCAACATGAACTTGAATTTTCGCAGTACAGTTGATTTCTTTAACACTAAACCAAAACAGAAACAGAGACATCCAATCCCTTAGCAAAAGGAAGAATCTTATTGCCAGAGGACTGCCAAATTTCAACATTCAACACAACTTCGGGACGGACAGGAACAAATTAAAACAAAAGGAAAGTCAAATTTATAACTATCAATTGGAACAGTAATCCAGAACAAGGGAAAGGCTGAAAGCAGCAGTCGATCAGCAAGGAAAAATTCCTCCATTACGAGGATCATCCAGAGACCCATTAGTGTATATATACAAATTTGGAAACAGGCATGAGGCAGACTAAAATTATACACCCTCGAGCATGAAGTTTCCAAGGCTTAGCAACCAATATGCAGGACTCAGAGACAGTACAACCAATGAGGCAAATAACGAAGGGTCCTTAAGGTAAAACACATCCACTTGTTTCCGAGAAACTGCCCACAAACATGCGCAACTGGCACTCAGCAGGAAGAGGGAACTTTTTTCCGGTTCTTTCCTGTGAGCAACAAGTAATTCCTAATTCAAACAGGCATTGCACTGCAAGGAGTAAACACGGTGACAAATATGTTTGAGTTGACAGTGACTTTGGCTGTCTATTGTATAAGAAAAAATACCTGTAAAATTCAAAGCTATCCAATTTCTCCAATGGTACAGAGAAAACTTTTTTTGTCTGTCCCTTGTATCACTCCAATGATGCTGGCAGCTCAAGTTTTTTAGGGACTTTTGAGAAACTTTCACAGGAAAGACAGGGTTTTGAGGAGCACAGTGACCAGATGAAACGAGATGACAAAATGAAATGAATACGAAAGACCATCCCAGCTAGAGCTCCCAACAAACCATTTACTGGGACAAAGAGGCAAAGACTTGGAATTGTGGCACTTAAAACAATACGGCCATCTACAACTTTAGAAGCAGAAAAGAAACTGCAGAACAGTTTCAATCCAACTCCAGAAAAGAAGCAACTTTTAAAAACTCCACATTTGTCCTGCTGGGCACAACACTCATTCTCTCTTGCTGGTAACACATGCACACACCCACACCACACGCATGCTACCTTTGTACAGCTTCATTTAAACACATCTTAATATACAAATAGAATTCAGCAAGCAATGCCAAAATTAGGCCCTCGTTGAATGAGAATATCACCGAAGGGCTCATTTTGTTCAGTGCAAACAGCCTGGTGTTTTTTCAAGACAAGTAACGTGTAAAAGCGAGACGCAGCCTGTTTTCTATTGCTATTGCGAGCCATGTCCTTGAAGCTGAGGGTATCGGAGAAGGTGAAGGCCGACTCAAACATGTGCTGCATCTGCTGCGTGCGTTTGCTCCATCGTTTCTCTTCCTGCTCCGCAGTCTCCGGCATGAGTTCTCCATCCTGTTCCTGCTCCAAATCGTCGAAAGTCTGTGGGGAGAGAAAAAAAAAGTTATACAGTACGAACAATAGCACATAGGATTACTTCGACAGTATACCCCCAATAACACATTAATGGCAAGTGGCAATTAGACTGGAGTGCTGCTGAGAACCTTCAAGACTTGAAGACGCGCAGGACAGAAATTTTCAGTAAATACATCACACACTGATTTGCCAATCCTGAACACCAATCCTCCAGGCTAGTTTGTTTTGTCTGGGTTTTTTTGGAAGGGGGGGGGTTTACGGCGCTCGCAACTGCATACGGTCATATGAGCACCAAGGGGTGGACGTCAACCTTACAGGGAATCAGACTTACTCTGCTCACCTCTCTAGCTTCAACAGCACAAAGTCTGCTTCGACTATCAAGGCAAAAAGAAGTAGAGGAAAAAGACGATAGTAAGGATTAGGAAAGAAAAAGCAGCAATTCTCTGTCGCAGTTCAGGCAGTTATGAGATTGACATTGATGAAACAGCCCATTCACAATTACAATTCTACGGTGCATTAGAACTTGAGATGCTAATGCCCCCCCCCCCCCCCCCGAATGGCCTGAAGACACTTCAATCAGAAGCACCACCTAGGCCAACGGAACTTTAATCAAATCAGTCGCAACATTTTTTTTAAAACTTCAAACTGGCTCTAACCTAAAATTCTTTGCCATTCAATTTTGATAATTATTAAAATTATAGAGCTCTCAAAAACATGCTTTGAATGTCATATAATCTATAAAACCATCCAGTCAAGAAAAGGAATTGTCATTTTCAGCACGCATAAATGGCTTTCCATTGTTATTAAGGGATATTAAATCATGATACAGTGGAATCCTGTTATAACGAGAGGGAAGGGACCGGTACGAAATGTCCGTTATAGCAGGATTCTCGTTGTAAGGGATCCAGTCATAAACTCAAAGCAAATAATAAAGTATGCCTAATCTATGAGTTTGGTGTTCTGTTTATTTCTTTTTGTTATCTCCTCTGACGATGGCTTTGTTCATCATGACCTCTAGGTCTTACTTGATAAAAAATTGAATCAGTTTTCTTTCTCCAGCGTTAGCAATGTTGACAGCTCGGCGTTGGCGATCAGAACAAAAGTTCACTAAGCCTAAGCTAACTCGCCTGCTGTATTGTCCCCCACCCCACCCCACCTCACCCATGATCCGTCACAGCACTGTGACCTCTCCATCCCCGCATCGGAGAAGTGAGAGGCATGATAGGCCTAGATAATCTAGACTAGGCTGGTCTGTCACTATCACACAAAGCGTTCTGCTTCACAACAGCTTGTCTGCACGTGCCACACCCTCCTCACTCATTCGCTCTGACCTTCATCGTTGGCACGCACGGTCTTTATTTCGCTTGATCACCAAACAAGTTTCCCAACTGGCAAGGTTTTCATGTATAAATGGCCAATGCACTGTTCACAGCAGTATTTTATTTACAAATATAAAGAACCCCCCCCGGTTTTAGAGTAATGTCTTTATAACAGACCTCGTTATTTCATGACTCGTTTTAAGTGGACTCCACTGTAACATAACAATTCTTACTTCATTTTTGTCCAACCCCCCTCCCCTCCAATACAGAACCCAAACAAAAAAAACAAGTGGAAACATATTACTGAATGATTACAACCACAAATCGTTGAGAAAACAAGAAAAGGGTTCATATAACCTCAATTACAGTTCTCTGAAGTTTGAACAGTTCCTCCAGCATTGTAAAGAACAGAACACAGTAGTAGGTCATTTTATTGGGATTTTTTTAACGATAACCAATTTACAATGCAAAACAGCAGAGCACTAGCAACAAAAAATAAAACAAACAAAAAACAAAGGTTGCATAGTTACCTTTGAAAATAAATTCAGTGTTAGTTTGAGTTAAAACTTGTTACAAATTTTTTAATAACTAAGTCATTGTCAGACTTGCAATAATTCAGATTTTTTTAACCAAGGGAGGTAGACACTGGGTTCATCCGTCGACTTCCAGATTTGGGTTTTTTTACACAAATTTTTTTCACCTCTACTAGGATCAACTGATTTCCGACTGAAAAGCCTTTTCACATCTTTTGTTCCGCCATGGTGCACTCTCTACAACAACTTCAGAAAAGTCAACCAACTGATGGGTGTTGTTGAATCTCTGATAAAAGAAAGCGTGCTGACACATGGGGTGACAATACCGAATATGTCTCCATCGACCTCTGACTCCATACATGCTTCATCTGTTTTACTTTGACCGTTTCAATCTACCGAGTGTCAGTGTCTCTAGCCGCAGCCGGCTCCGGTCATTACTCCTTCCCCAACAGACAACAAATTGAGAAACAAGTCCAAAACACTCCATTTACCTTTCAATTACATAACAACACCAAAAGCACTTAGATCCCTGCTATTTGAATCATGTCCAAACCAACTTCACTTTACAATGATATAAGGTTTTTAGTTCCTTCTAACAAGCTGTATTATTTTAGTACAAATAAAGAACTCAAGACGGTAACAAAAAGTCATGACAGGCTTGAAAGAAACTACAAAAGAATCTACAGATACAATTTAATGATACCATCTTCCATCTCAGAAATTTTTCAAAAGGCACATTTCTTTGAGATGTTTAGTTTTAGTAAGAGTTTTACTGCACTTGCAATACAATCAGGTCGTATAAGTGCTTAAGAATAGATGTTTTACAAGAGAGTAATTTGTTTTTGTAAAGTGTTTTACGGCGCTCGCAACTGCATAGGTCATATGAGCGCGCGGGACACACATATTTTCAGTTGGTAGGAAATTTTGAATTTTGCCAGGGTGGCGGCCGAAGCCAACTCTTATCGATTTTAGACCACCAAGGGATCTTTAACATGCGCAACTTGCACATGGGCCCTCCGAGATTTTTCGCCCTTGTCCGAGAAGGCTAGGTGTAGATCTTTCCTACCAGAAGATCAGGGGTGTGGCTGAAAGACAGCAGTAAGGAGGAGCCAAGGAGTAGCAGTAGACAGGCAGCAGAAAGAGTCAGGAGCCCAGAGGAGGGGGTGGGGGCAGAAAGTGGAAATGAAAGCAGACAACAGAACATTGCTAGAGAGCAGGAAAGGAGGTGAAAGGAGACAATTTTAGAGAAGAAAATTTTCGGCCGCTACCCGGATTCGAACCCGAGACCTTTGAATGAGAGGCCAACACCTTAACCTCTAGGCCACGAGAGCCCCCCGAGGAGAGATAAGGACGACAGATGTTTGAAAGGAAAGAGGAAGCATACCATACCACCCACCAACCACCAACGTGGCACATTTCAACTCATTTTAAAAACAACAAACAAAAACCCAAACAAACAACTCAAAAAGCACAAATTTTTTTAAAGTTCAAATGTCAAGATATAAAAAAACTTTTTGCATCATACCACTTTGATCTTAGGGAATCTCAGTTTTCTCCGTTTGCGCTGAAAAGTGCACAAGCCATATTTGCAGTAGAGGAGAACAAAATGATGGGACAGTCAAGAAAAATAACGAACAAATGTCCTGTGACAAGAATCTTCTGAAATATATGTACACCACTGAAACTACTACTTCTCACTAGTTTTAAAGATTAAAATTTGCATATGTATAAACACACTGATATTATTTATGCCCGCAAGGCACCATTGTGTCATACAACAAAACTATTTTTTAAAGTTTGGAAAATTCCAGACTTTTCAAAAATTTTGAGACATTCTCATTCAATCCCAATAGCAGCAGCCACATCTTGAGCAATGCCAGAAGAAATCTTTTTGTGGCAACTGCTACATCTAGGCCCTGACAAAAACACAGGTTTCACATGATCTGTTCAGTTACGTGCGGGGCCTGAGCCTACTAGAGCTGGCAGCAATTCAGGTAATGTGATAAAAAAATTAACTGTAGTAACTTGATATCAGCCTCTCTCTCATTGGACAGATGAACGTCAAGAAGCAAAGGTAGATAAAAATAACTTTATCTTTGAGACCTTGAACAGACAGGAGACAGAAAGAGAGCAAGGTTATATGAGAGGCATTATGAAGAAATCAGGCACTTGTCAAAATAACGAAACCAAAGAAATTGGGATTTTCCAGCCCGTCTTGCATCTTTATCTAATTTTTGTTTTTTGGCTCAACACCTATTATGTCCATTTAAAAACACATTTGTGTGTGGATTTTTTAATAAAAAACGATTAAAGGCACAGAAAAGGTATATGGGGGGTTTCCAAGGACTCTTTAGCTTTCAAAGTCACCGAACTTTGGTGGCAATTTCCACACTAAATTTACCTCTGAAACCAGACGACCAACCTCCTTTAACCACAAATATCTTGACTTCTATTCAAGATAGATGGATATTCACAAGCTTTAAGATGATATCAATAACTCCATATGCCCAAAAATTGACGAGCATCTGGTTCCATAGCGTCGTGACACATACAAGTCTTTAGAGAGCATCCGAGCAGAGAAACCGAGTGGAAAGCCATAACAGAGTAGGCTGCCTGTTTCGGACATGGCACTTGAACAAGAAAAAGAACCAGACAAACTCACCATTGCTGGAGGAACAGATGCGGGGGGTACAGAGGGTGGTGGTACAGAGAACGGTGCTACTGACGGAGGTCCCTCGTCTAACAAGGGGTTGATGGTTGGTTCTATGGTGGTGGGGTCAGCAGGTACGTCCACCGGTTGAAGGGTCATGTTGTCGGGGATCTGGTCAAACAGAGACTGGTTGTTGGGCATCAGAGGGTCCACCACCGACAGCTGCTCTGACCTGGGGATGGACAAACGCAACGAAAATGTTCAGTCTTTGAAAGTTCTGCAGCATTCAGTTTCAAGACAAATTTTTGTGTTTGAGGGAAAAAAAAGTATACTTGGACACAATACCATCATTTGGTGTATGGAAAAGACAAGACAAGACTGAATCAAGGAAGCCCTCCAACCATCAAATTTCAAAACACAATAAATATGTGTTCTCAACTCGCTGGTCTCCAAACCGATTTATCCTATTTCAAAGTTTTTTGGGTTTTTTTACAACTCTATACTTTTCTTTCACAACATGTGCTTCAACTTAAAGACAAAAATTGGACATAAACATAAAGGAGTGTAGCTCCCTCGGAGAAGCTTCGTACAAAGTTTTATTTGCATTCGTAGCTGTTCAGACGAGAAAATCCTTTTGAATATAACCTGTGTGCACCACACTGACCGTTGGATATTTTGGGTAGAAGATTCGGCTGCTGGGAATGGCCACTCAGGTTTTACGAGTTATTTCCATCAAGCACCCATCAAAGTGTTGAGACAGGACATTTGAAACATAGTTAACTGGGGAAAGCGTTATTACTACGACAGAAGATTTGAGAGTTATGTAGAGATTCTTGCACAACATCAGAGCCAGCCACGAAGCACCCCCCACCTGTCAGATCTGTGTGAAGTGTCTCCCAGATCCTGTTGCCGCACTGACTGGACGGTGGTGTCTCCGGCTGTCACCACTGAGGCCTCTTCCACGATGGTGCTCATCTCTGACTGGCGGGTCACGTCCGCCAGGGTCGTGTTCCTCTCGTTCTCTCGGGCAATCTCTGGCGCCAAATCCAGGTCAATGCGTGAAGAGCCAGGCTCAAAATCTTCCGATACAGACTGGCACACCAGATTGCGTGAAAAGAACTGGAAAAGGAAAACAAATCCATTTAGGTTACTAAATCAATTTTTTTTTTTCTCTTCCAATCAACACTTGACTTCAGCTTGATGCCCTAGAACCTGCAGTTTTAACTTCACAGCATATAACACAAGTGCCTGTGGTGTATCAGTAAGGCGTTGTGCTGCTGCACGCGTGAGACTCAAGTTTGATTCCCTAAGTAAAGAGAATTTTAATGAGTGTCTCGGTCTCTCTGCAGGGATTTGTATCCTTCTCAGCCCTGATTGACCCCGACAGGCAGGATGAGAAGCCCACCTCCTGCATGATCTAAATTGAGTGCAAAACCACCTCCATTGTAAAAAATGTTAAAAGCATAAGCATGTTTTCAAGCAGAACTCAAAAGGGATTAACTATAAAATGACAACTTTTGTATAAAAATTTCCCCCCCGTTTGTATTAATGGGGTGGGGTGGGGATGGGTGAATAACCATCAATATAGATATGACCTTTTGCAGTTGAGAGTGTGGTAAAACTTTTCAGACTCAGGGAGATTACCAACCTTTGCGGAAACTTTGGAGATGATGGACCTTCCTGGCAAAACGAAAACTTTCTCCACACCGCCCGTCTCCTTCCACAACATGAGCTTCTTGGTGGGTGGAGCCAGATCCAGAGAGGTGACAATGTCAGAGGTGTCTGACAACTGCAGCTTCATCGTTTCACTTGGAATGCCCTTTTGTTCATCGACAATCAACTTCCTCTTGCGTTTTCCTTTTCGCTCCGTACCTGTCAACAAAATCATACATTCCTTGTGAAGTACTAGTTCCAGTAGAATGAGATTTCCTACCATACTTCAGTTCTTTTAATGCATTTCTGACTATTTTACATCATTTGTCAGATACCCAAAAGAACACTTCTACATGAAAGCAGGGTTCATACTGAGCAGATTTTTCCCAAGACCAACGTCGGAAGAAAATTTTTCATTCAGCATGCAGAAGTACATTATGGTACACTTCAGAATGTGAAAAGTTGAGGCCTTCTAAACATTGAGGAAATATTTTTACGACTGACCTAGTTAAAAATTTGTTTTTCCCAAGAAATTTGCCAATTTCTCCAAAATTCCAAGAGTTTTCCAGTTTTCCAAGACCTGTACAAACCCTGACAACAGTTAAAAACATACACTAGAAGGGAATGTGGGGAGTACGAGTGGTTTCAACAAATTAGACACTCACAAAGAAAAAGTAGATTAGATATGATCTTAAAACACTCATCAAAAAGGAATGCATGTGTATAATTTGATATGTTCAGATATGGGACCACCAAAAGGGTGGACAGATAGTTAAGAAAGCGCAAGTGAAACTGTGTAATTCAGTAACTAGAACCTTGCCACCTAGGGCAGCTGAAGGGCACTCAAATGTTCTATGCTCATTATTCTTTCAGTACTACAATACAACAACTATTGTTATCTCCTCCTGCCCCAATGCTGCAGACATTCTACTGATTCTCTAAAAACGCTACCCTAGAATTACAAAGTTTTATTTGCACAGTTCCTAGTTATGACAATTTTGACATAAAACCTTTGGAGCTTCCCAATATGTCAAGCCTTTTCAAATGCAATTCTTTAAATATCTTGATAACGACTCTGAATAATCTTACGTTTTTGATAAAACAAATAGGGAATTTGATTTCTGATTTCATGGTCTTAAAAACTGTTTACTTTTCCAATCCAGCAACCATCTTATCCATTTTATCCCTTCGGCCTCTGATCTTAGTACCTCAAAATGGCAAAAAATGTCAGATAAAACCCTGAAATTCTGAGGTAGCGAACTATCTAAGAACTTGCAACCCCAAATTCACCTGGTACAGAAGTGATGTCCAGAGGCTCCAGCGCAAAAGCCTCCTCCTCATTGTGAACAAGAGTGGTCTGTTCTCCGCCCACGCTGGACACAGCTGAAATGCCCGGTGCCGCTGCCTGGAGGGGGACTGACTCCTCCGCATCCTCTCCCGGCTGTTTGTCGTTCTCCTCTGATGAAAATTTTCAGAATTCATTTGAGAAAGGTAGGAACAAAGAAAGCATAATAAATTAAACAGTTTAAAACCATGAAGTCAGAATAGGTGGATGGAGCAGGAAAACATATTTTGCTTCCTAATCTGATAATTCTATGTGATTTTCCCCCATATCTACAAGATGAATAGTCCTGTATAAGTTGACAATGTCTGAGAAACAATTAACTGTAACAGTGTACGGGTTTTCCCACAACTACTGCATTCTCTACTAGGCAATTTACATCCTCTCCAGATAAAAAAGATACAATGTAAACCACTACTTAATTCATTTACAAAAAAGTGTTCAAAATAAATTGAAGAACTTTTAACTGTCCAAGATAAAGACAACAACAAAAAAATATAATAATAATTTTTAAAAAGAAAAAGAAAGAAAGGCATTTTAGCACTCAACTCCGATTCATAAAACAAACACTAAAATATGAAACAAGCTTTAATTTACATGTACAAAAAATGTGACAAGACAGGAAATAATATCATTTGGATTTTAACCCTTCGAGTGCTGATCGCGACAGTCCGAACTTCCATAAAACGCTGAACGCGATAGACATTGGCATAGTATAACACGATGTAAGAAAAGAACGAAGCACTAATTTTTATACTGCTAGCTGGTAGGCTACGCAGAATTGATTTCGCTCGTCATTTTTCTTGTCGCGGAGTTCGATCGAGGCGCGAGGTTTTTTGTTTCACGAAGTCGAGTGACAGTGAAGTTGAAATATTCGTGATTGCGACCCACGACAAACATGACAATAGTGTCGCATCAGATTTAGATGTTCCGCGTATTTTCCAAGAATCGGAAGATGATTTCGAGGGTTTTGATGCTAGAGCTAACACTGTGGAATATAACGTAGGCCTACAAAGCATCGACTCTATAGATCTAATGAACCGGCAGTTTTTATTCAGTCATTTCCAACACCACGACTTCAACAACAACTTCACAAAATACTTTTTGCATCACATATTCATAAAGAACTTTCAACATTCTAAAACTTTTATTCTTACCTTCATTACAAATTTTGATAAATAAAAAAAGTTATTAGCAAAAAAAAAAGTGTGTGCAAATCTGGTGTTTTTTCAAAATAAATTCAGCACAGAGGGAAAATATAAGGGGAGATAAGTCAGCGCTCTGAGTAAATATTCTACCACAAACAACAGAGAAATTTAATTAATATCTAAAGCAACAGCTGCTCAAAAGAAACGTAACTTTCCTAATTTTTATATAATTTTTTTTAATGAAAATAAAAAACCACAACAATTTCCATGAGTATTATGCACAAACAGAGGTCCTTTCCTCCTTCTCCTTTAGCCTTTGTGCATTACATTGTGTCGTCTTGCAAGCTTTTCCTACTTTCAAACAACTAACCTGGAACAGGAGAAGCAGATGCTGCCTGCACCGCTTCCTGTGCTGTTGAGTCACTGGGCATGGCTGGTGGATCCTCAAACAAACCTCCCGTGCCCATGAAGTCTTGGCCTTTTATCAACAGAAAAAGGCCAATTAATAAGAAATACAAGAACTCTTTCCTAAAAATTTAACTTGTACAATCATTCTAACCCATACCCTCCCTTGATATTTTTCAATGACCAAACCATACAAAGGTTAACACACTTTGAAGAAGTAAACTTATGTCGTTAACACCAATAAAACACGCACTATTCATATCACTTAAATGTCAAAATAAGTTATTTGCCCTTAGAAATGCAATCTCACCCTTCAACGAACAGGTTCTTCACTATTGTTTTGCATGAAGCAGAACCGATTTTGAATATTCTACTACGTCAACTATCAAAATCTCACCACTTGTATCAACCTGATGATCATACAACACATGTTCTACAAAATAAGTCCTTACCAAAGAAATCCTGATCAACATCCCCAAAATTATCGTCATTGTCTTCATCGCAGCCATCATCACCATCTGAAATCCAGAAACAGTTTGATATAATACCAAGGTACCATTTGACTGTACATGGAAATGACAAGACAAAATACTCTCCACCTTCCTCTTCCAATCTATTCATTACATAAAAACATCGCACTTAAAAATCAAAAGAAACACACATGCTCTTCACTATGCATTAACATTCAGAGATACCACTACATGCTACAGAAAACTCACCCATAAAGCCGCCACCAAAGTCATCTCCAACGACAGGAGGGGGCAAGTCAATATCCATCGGTTTTTCTTTGTCAATGGGTGATTCTGGGCGGTCAATCTCATGGTCGGCTTCCTTCTCCTGCTCCATTTCATCACTCTTGTACAGACCGTCATCCAAATGCCCAGCATCTGGTAGTATCTCACGCTCATCAAAGCCAACATCCCCTGTGAACATTTTTAGATAACTAATTTATAGTCATGATAAACACAAACAACAAAACCTAAAACGCAAGACCACACAGCGCAATTTGCATGGGTGTTGATCTCGACTACCTCAGTCTTTTGCAGGAGAAGAAATGTTCAACAGTCCGGGAACCATCTCTACCCTGAGAGTACCGCTAAAATCAATACCAGACCAGGTTCCAAACTTTAATTATCATAGACAATTAGTTTTTTGGATTACACACACATATATTATTTTATATATGGCAAAAAGATTGCTCAGGCAAAAGAGGATCAGATAACAACAAAGCAGTCAGCCAGGTTAGTTCACTTTATCACCACTACACAGCACTCAACAAGTGGTTTGCATTTAACAGCTTTTTCTACAGAAACAGAGGTCAGGCCACATTCACACCAGATTCCAATTGGAGCCGGCTGTCATTCCGTTACTTTCGAAATGTCATTCAAAAACACCAAAATGTTGAGAATGGACAATATCAAGCACCTGTTGATTGATAAGAAGCCTTTCCTAGGGGGTCAAAGGCCATAGATTCCATTTGGATATTTGACTTTCAAAAAGTTGTGGCAGCATTCATAATTAATTACTATTTTAATTTTTACATGCCACTGCCTGCAGATAAAAAAATGTGGTGCAAACTCCAATTGGAATCATCCACAAAAACAAACTGAGGTAAACAGCAGGGTGGGTAAGAAAGAAACAAGAGACCTTTGACCCCAAAGGAAGCAGCTTCTTACCCACAGGCTTCTCCGCTTTCTGATCATCAAGTGGTTGGTCGCTACTGTCATGGTCATTCAAACCCTTCTCTTCCCCCGAAGCCACAGATTTACTGAGATCAGAAGCCGAAGAGACGGAAGGGCTCTCTTCAACAGATGGGCTTGTTTGCTGATGCTCAAGATCAGCAGATGCACTGACATCAAGTGTGGATGGACTACAACCACTTTCTTCCACAGTAGAATCTGACGTCTCTTCGACATGGCTCTCTTTTACCGCCAAGCCTCCTCCCACCCCTTCGAGATCGGAGTCACTGCTCTTACTAGTAGAGGGCTCTGGCCCACAACTGTGATCACCATGATGACTAGATCTACAGCAGTGATGGTGATCACGGCCAATGGACCGTACCTCAATATCTCGATCGTCGTCCCATTCCTCTTCTGAACCAGACTCCATCTCATAAAAGCCTGGATCAGACTCCAAACCGATACCACTATCCGAGTGGTCCAGGGCTGGTTTTTGAGGTTCTTTGCCAGCCTGTAGCACTGAACATTTGGCTTTTCCGTTGCCTGAGGTGGTTACTTGTAACTGGCAGCCACACTGTGGGCACTGAGACGTTACTGGAGGGGTAGGTTGAAGGCACAGTTCTGATTTGTCGTTGCTCACAGGTGTTGATGTAGTTGGGCTTGGCGCCTCATGGTTATTAACATCATCTAACTCAAGTTTTCTTTTACAGCCTGATGGTGTAGGAGGTAGATCAAGACTGAGTTTTCCTCCACTTGAAGGAACAGACGAAACAGGACTGACCACCGGGTAAGGCGACAAAAAGATGTGGTCGGAAGAGCAAGGCGAATGAGGAGAAAAGCAGCTGCCACGACGAGGGGTGCTACAGGAATGCTGGGAAGAACAGGAAGGACTTCCGGTTTCATCCCCCAGGCTCCTACTGGGGGTATCACAGGATGCAACAGATATATCTACACTAATTCCACTGTCCAAACGAGAGTTTCTATCACAAGTCTTTTCCTGAGTAACAGACGATGAATGTGGGTAAAGACACTGTTGGTGAAACAGTCCTTTCCTACACATAAAACAATTGTCTTCTGTTGACTTCAAAGATAAGGCATTTTGCAACAAGTCACAGAGGTTATCTTCCGTGAAGGGCCTATCCACAAAATTGCATGGCTCCCCATATAGAATGAGACATAATTGTTCAATATTTAATTCTTCACCCAAAGAGTCGTCCTCCATGGGCCCTGATGGAGAAAAGTGATAAAAACAAAAAAATTCTTGTTAACAATTCACTGCCAGTACTACCTTTCCATTCACATATAACCACGCGTTTTGCATAACTCACAGCTGATGCAAAACTCAAAAACTTTCAACAAATGAAGCTGGCAACAAATTACACAGAAACAAACAAGTATATCTGCAATGACAGAGAATAAAAGATCTAAAACAGTATTTGTAATTTGACAACAACTGACGTTATGTTACAAAAGTAAACCCTTTCTCAAGATCAAACCCCTGACACTTGGGAGCTTCATTTCCCTGCTAAATTTCATGGGAAGTGATCTAGATTCTTCGATCCACAGCGCAACTGAAAGTAATTCAAGTTCAGACCTATGCTATTTCTCCAGCAAGAGCACATATGATTGACCACCATCTCCCATCCAGCCATGTGCCCATTTCAAAGGCCATACTGTTTATTTGCACCATACCATAACCATGTTCCTTGATCTTTGGTAGGAATCATTATCTATCCAGATAGACCTGCTCTTCTTTGAATTATAGGTCGCCATGTTGTTGGTTCTTTTTAAAAAAAGCACCATGAAATTAGGAACTCCTAGTTTTTAATCCATGTGAAAGACCATTTAATAATTATTATCCTCCAATCCACACACTCTAGGACCAGGGTGGTTCAAAAACAGAAAAAACAACAACATTCGATTACCATACGTATGCATAAAAATAAGCCAACTAGGGTGTATAAGAGTGAGACACAAGTCCTTTTTCTCTGAGCTCCGTCCCATACCCCAAAGCTTTACTTTCCTTTAATCTCTTTTAAAAAATTGATCAGTAGAGTTGGGACAAAATAAATGCTGAATGCCTAATATTTCAAAGCAAAATAATACAAAAAGTCAATCACCATATTCTCTCTAAAAGCACTCAATCATTTTAATTACACAATAATACATTTCTATATTTTACTGAGAACCTGAAACAGTTGAATAGAACTGTTTTTACACAGAAGATAAAACATTCAATTCAAACCAAAATAAATCTAGCTCGTGTTCTTCCCATGACTGAACAAACAAAATGTGAGTATATCCTAAAGGGACACTATTCATCTACAAAATAACATGCATTTCATCACAAATTTAACAGCCAGGAGGAACCAAACAAGTATAGCAGGTTTATGTTCTGGAAGAATCCGGAATATAACAATTCTGACCTGTACTCTTTCTGAGGGTAACAAAATATGTGGCAACTGAACAGCAGTATCAATAACACATTCCACAATCCAGATAGACCAGAAACAGCCCCCCCCCCCCCTCCCAGGCAAAATGTTCCACCATTTTCCAAGAGGAAAAGGAAACAATCTCAATTCCAAGACTAACTTTTGATTCATAAGTTTCCACTTTCTAAACAATGAAATCTACTGCTCATTGAAAAAAAAAAATTTCATGAACAAAAAAACAGGTATCAAGTCTTAAAAACAATCCTTTCTGAAATTCAAACACAATTGCATTACCTTCAGCAGAGCACCTTTATGATAATTAAGCTGTTGCCATGATAACCAGACAACTTTACCATTTGTTTTTTTCCAAAGAATATAGAACAGGGACTGCAAGAATAATATAATTCCCAAGACATTGAATGAACTTTATCACTCAATACACAAACAATGAATAGTGCTTTTCTATATATGAGACGACAAATGGATAAGTGAATGCACCCCTTCTCTCTCCCTTTTTCATTTTAAATTCAAGAAGACAGCCAAAACAATGAAGGGAATTAACAAAATGAGTCCGGATGTACAAAACACCAACAAATGAAAAGAATAGATACTAACCGAATCCATCGTCACCCATGAGGGTAATCTGCCCGAGATCTTCCCTCATTGTAATTTCTTCTGGCCGACTCTGGTTTACTGAAAACTGGGCCTGAACATTAATGTCCCTGTGGAGATATAAAGTAATTGTTAACACTTGACCAAACTGCCAGGGCCACTGATATTCCACTTCTTAAAAATTAAAGCATGATTCACATGCCCAAAATCATGACAATAATTGGGAGTCTACTACTCCAATCCACAACAGTGTTCCTAGTTTTACATTCCCAAGTACAAATCATTAAAAGCAAACAAGATTGGAAGAACATATGGGCCTTGGGACAGACAGGCAGAGCAGTTTTCAAACAAATGACCACAACAGCGAAATGACAATATCAACCACCTACAGAGAGAGGGACCACAAACTTCCGCCTACAAACAGGACATATACAGCTCAAATCACTTGAACATAAGAAAACGAGAACTTTTCCCCCAATGAGTCCTTTGTGTGTCAATGCATACTGGGTCATCACCAGTTCCACTGCACAGGCCTAAACTAACTGACATTGACACCAGAGCTACACTTCTCCCGCCGAGACCTATCATTGACAAAACACTGTATGGAACATTACAGCAACTGTAGCAAACCTTGCGGTACAAATGAGGTATTTTTCTGTCCCGTCAGTCATCAAAACTAAACATGTCACAGAATTTACATAAAGTACAAAGTTCTTTTTTTCTTCAAATGACTGCATTTAAATAATATGATTCTTGATGTGTCTTTCAAATGTTCTGATCTTTTGAAGTATAAATAGATAAATAAATATTGAAATACAGAGTTATTAATTTATTACAAGTTATAAATTATCATTGTAAGAAAGCATAGTCCAAATATTCCCTCACTTACAGTGGAACAGCCCTGTAGATGGGGGTCTCTGTACTTATTTTAGTAATTTTTGTTGAAATTTTCAAACCATATTCAATTCAATGTCGTTTATGAATGCATTTGCCACAAAAACAGGGGAGTTAACTACTTCAACTAGCAACTGCTGGATATTTACCCTTCAATCTTATCCCAGGGTTGGGTTGATTTAAATCAGTTGATTTTTTTTATTTAAATCAACTTGATTTTTTAAATAAAAATCAGTGATTTAAATCATTTTTTTTATTATTATTTTTATTCGGTTTTTACACATTTCAACATTCAGAATTCCTTTCCTTGGTTTCATAAAACAGATATAAGGCTC